GAAGAGGCTTATGTGGATTATTTAAATAATCCTTGTAAGGATCCAAATTATGAACCCGAAGAAGCATTAAAGGGTTTTGAAAAGGCTGATGATGCAAAGACTGCAAACGATAATGCAGCCCAAGTCCTTTCAAAAGTTTTAGCAAACCGACCAACAAAAAATTTGTTATTATTCGGTGATAAGGTTGATAAGATTGAATATTACACCCAAAAATTCTTTGAATACGATAAATTAGTTGAAGTTGGAAGACGGGGGGCTTATTCAACTTCATCTATCGGTTTCGTGACCTTCGAAAACATAGCTAGTGCGGTAATATTTATTTGGTTTTTTAATTTCCTTTTTTTTGTCGAAATTTAATTCTTATCGTTATGTTCGTTGCAAAAATAGCAATTAGCTTCACAAGTACTTGTTCATTCAGAACCATTTAAATGTCATACCGAACTTGCCCCTGAACCACGTGATATGTACGAGAAGCGTCTTTTTTTTTATTGTATAATTTAATTTAATCAATTTCAAATTAATTTTTTTCTATTATAGTTATTGGTATAATATGGCAATCCGAACACGAGAAATGTTTATTAGAAATGTGATTGTTAACGTTCTTATTTTCTTTCTTGTGTTTTTCTGGTCTGGACCTATTTCACTTTTTGCTTCACTGTTGAGTCTTAAGAGTTTGGAGAAATTTTTTCCATGGTTAGCACATTTAGCAGAAAAGAATGAAGCCTTAAAGGATTTTATTCAAGGAACTTTGCCAACTTTGTTCGTATCTCTATTCAATGCACTTTTACCGAAAATCATGATTTGTAAGTTTATTTAATTTTCAAATTGCATTACTTTTTCGTTTCAATTTTAATTTCAACCATTTTTTTATATATATCTAGTCTTATCTAGACTTCAAGGATTTCATGCTCGTAGCACTATCGAGCTTTCGACATTTGCCAAGTATAGCTCTTTTTTAGTTTTAATTTGTTATGTTATGTTATGCATGTTAACTTTTTTATTATATTATTAGATATTACTTTTTCTTGTTAATGAATGTATTGCTTGTATTTTCCATTGTCGGATCAGTATTCAAGAATATTGAAGAAATCTCTAGAAATTTGCCAGAAATTGCTTATAAATTAGCTACAACATTGCCTCAAGTAATTTTTATAATTTATTGATATATTTACCACATATTAATTAATATTGCTAATAGTTATAAATGGAATTTTAGGTTTCATCATTTTTTGTCAATTTTGTTGTCATCCAAGGGATTGGTTTGTTCCCAATTCATTTGTTGCAATTAAAAGAAGTCGCTTATACTTGGATTATGCGTGTGTTTTTTTCAAAAACTCCTAGAGATTATGCTCAAGCAACTGCTCCACCATTTTTGGATTACGGAGAGGAATTACCACCTATTATTTTGATTTTTGTTATTATTATAGTTTATTCTTCTTTAACGCCAATTATTACTTTATTTGGAGCAATCTATTTTTTCCTTGGTTATATGTGTTATAAATATTTACTTTTATATGGTATGTATGGAACTTCATAATAATAATTATTATTTGAACCTTTGTAAATCAATTTTTACTTTTCTAGTCTACTTTCATCCGTATGAAACTGCCGGACTTGCATGGCCAAAGATTTTCCGAAGAATTATTATTGGACTTTACATTTATCAAATAATGATGATTGGATATTTATCATTAAGAAATTATTATTATTTAGCTGCAAGCGTCTTTCCAGTTCTTATTTGTACATTTCTTTTCTTTTATTATGTTAATGGTGCTTATGAAAGAACTTCAGCTTTCATACCAATGAAGAAATTACGTGAAGAATTAAATAAAGCACAAACTAATACAGCAGATGTTACGATTACACCAAAGGCACCTGAAACT